AGCCATTAGAGGAACCACATTTAGAATGATGGCTCACTTAATGAAATTATGGAATCCAGGAAAAAAAAACGAAAAGCCATTTTTAAAGAAAAAAACTTGAAAAAAAAGAAAAGAATACCTGTCAATATAGAATATTATATTCAGTGAAAATATATTTTTTAAAAATGTAGGTAAAATAAAGATATTCTCAGTGAAATACAGGCTGATATAACTTATTGGCATTAGCAGTAGACCTACATTACAAGAAATACTAAAGGAATTTTATTTTTTGGCTGAAAGAATCACAGATAAAAGCACAGAAGTACAAGAAGGAATGAAAATCATGAGAGTGTGTCTATTGGCCATTCGTATATCTACCTTTGAGAAATGCCTACTTAGCTCTTTTGCCCTTTTTTAATTGAGTTACTTGTTTTTTTGTTGTAAAGTTGTTTCAGTTCCTCGTATATTCTGGATATTAATCCTTTGTCAGGTGTAGATTTTGCAAATATTTTCTCCTACTCTGTTGGTTGTCTTTTAACTCTATGAATTGTTTCTTTTGCTATGCAGAAGCTTTTTAGTTTGACATAATCCCATTTATTTATTTTTCCTTTGGTTGCCCATGCTTTTCGGGTCTTATTCATGAGGTCTGTGTCTAGTCCTACTTCCTGAAGTGTTTCTCCTATGTTTTCTTTAAGGAGTTTTATTGTTTCAGGATGTATATTTAATTCTTTAATCCGTTTTGAGTTGATTTTAGTATATGGTGAGAGGTATGGTTCTAGTTTCATTCTCCTGCATATCAGCATTCGGGAAATGCAAATCAAAACCACACTGAGATACCATCTCACCCCAGTTAGGATGGCTAATATCCAAAAGACTGTAAATGATAAATGCTGGTGAGGTTGCAGAGAAAAAGGAACTTTCATGTACTGTTGGTGGGACTGCAAAATGGTGCAGCCTCTATGGAAAATGGTATGGAGGTTCCTCAAACAATTGCAGATAGATCTACCATATGACCCAGCTATCCCACTGCTGGGAAAATACCCAGAAGAATGGAAATCATCAAGTCAAAGGGATACCTGTACTCCAATGTTTATTGCAGCACTATTTACAACAGCTAAGAGTTGGAACCAGCCCAAATGTCCATCATCAGATGAGTGGATATGGGAAATGTGGTATATCTAAACAATGGTATATGGTATATCTACACAATGGTATATCTACTCTGCTATAAAAAAGAATGAAATACTGCCATTTGCAACAACACGGATGGACCTAGAGAAAATTATATTAAGTGAAACAAGTCAGGCACAGAAAGAGAAATATCACATGTTCTCACTTATTTGTGGGAGCTAAAAACAAATAAATAAATAAATACACAAATAGACTGGGGGGGAGGGAAGAAGACACAACAATTACAATACCTTTAAGTTGATACAACAAGTGAACAGATATGAGGTTGTTGGGAGGGAGGGGGGAGAGGAAGGAGGAAGGGAGGTTTTGGTAATGGGCCATAATAATCAACCACATTGTATATTGACAAAATAAAATTAAATTAAAAAAAAAAAAGAAAATCATGAGAGTGAATAAATATAAGACTATTCATCACTTAGGACAACAATCAAAACCAATACCTGCATATAAAAGTTAATTAAATGGTAATAGCAAAACAAATGTGGGGTAAATAGAGTTAAATATTAGCAAGATTCTTGAACATGAAGAAGAACCAACTTAAAATAGTTTCTATTAAGTTAAGGACTTAAGTTGGTTCTCTCTATTTGGCAATTTCTATTGAAAACTCTAAATGAATTATGCTGAGATGAAACAGAAATGTTAAGAAGGTGAGAAAATAGAATAATAAAAAGTTATTGATTAATACAAAAGAAAGCAGTAAAGAAGGAATTAAGAAACAAAGATCAAATCACACAAATAGAAAACAAATAGCAAATGAGAGATAACGGAAAGACAAGCTTCTGATTGTGAAACTTCACAATACATGTATCTGACAGACTCATATCCGTAGGATAGGAAGAATTCTTAAAATAGATGTTAGAAAGATAATAAACTCAAAGATGTGTTCAAAAGACTCGAACAGACACTTTACAAAAGAGGATGTCAACTTTTCAATAAGCATATGAAAAGGAGCGTAACTTTGTAGTACAGCATAGAAAAGCCAATCAAATTCATAACCTGATACAACCACACACAGAATGTCTAAAATGCAAAAGACAAAGTAGGTGTTGACAGGAGGTGGAACAACCTGAACTCTCATACATGCTCGGGATGAGACGCTAAAAGAACATTGGAGTAAATGAGGATCTAGGATCAAAAGTGGAGGGTAGCGAATATTTGTGCATCTGTTACTGCATTTCATAGTCAGGCAGAAATGGTTTTAAGAATCACTTTACCTCGTATCTTTGACCTATGTATTGGTGGTGATTTTTTTTAACCTATCATATTCTGTTTCTTTAGACAAATCTGAGTTCAATTCTAAGTTCCATTGCTTAATAGTTATATGACCTTGAGGAAATTACTTTCAGTCTCTAAATCTTGATTTTGTTAATTTTATTGTTATGTACTTCCCTCCTTAAAAAGAATGACAGAGGTATTACATATAAAGTGTCCATGTTTATGTACTAAACAACATCTGTTGCCCGATAAGATTCCAGTCGGGACTAGAGATTGTTTTGATTGCTACAGTAAGGAATAGATTCTGAGCAGAGAGATAACATTAAGATCACTTGAGAGACAGAGAGCTGCAGCAGCAGAGTCAAAGGCAGGATTTTACAGAACAGTTTCTATAAAAATAATATTTTCATGGAAATCAATTGAAGAGTTTTTCAAGATTATCCCAAAGTAAGATCTCCAGGAAAGAAAGAGTTAAAGAAACAAAGAACTATTTTTTAGAGGAGGCATTTCGGGCAAAAAGGAGTGGAAAAAGAAGACATTAGTATAGAAGGTGCAGACCAACTGGAAAAATTCCCTTAAACACACTAGTTAGGGGTTGTCACCAACTGTTTGGTAGAAAGGAACTGGAAATGAGATCAGAACTACTGCTTAATCTTTATAACTCCTCCAGTGTAGTTCCATATAATAATCTGTACACAAATATAAACCATAACCAGAGAGACTCCCTAAATCTCAAGAGAGGAATATAGTCTGTATCCTTCTGAAACTGGACAGAACTGTAAGAAATATGAAATTAGCTACAAAAATTGAAATTGTAAACCATAAGTGATAATGCTATTAATTCTCACATTTTTTTTCCATGAAAATAAAAAATTTAAAAAAAGGAAATAATAAACATTTGTAGATTTTGGGCATGAATTAGTAGGATCTGAAATGAGAGAGAAGTAAACATACACTAACACCATGCTTCTGTGATTTCTGGATTTCTTTGACCAGTGCGATATTCCACACTCCAACATGCCCTGCCAACCCCACTATCCAAATAGAAACTGATATAAGGTTGCCAAGTTCTTGTTTTTCCAAATAATGACATTTAAAAACATTCACAAATCACCATTTACTATCTCCATCATTTCACAAAAGAAGGAAGCGATACAAAAAACATAGGATGGACATGATCTCAGGGGAGAATGCTTTATGAAGAACTCACAACGTTGTTTCTATTTTCCTCATTTTGGTGCTGGTATGTGATAACCTCTCTGTAGACAGGAATTGGTTCATGAATGAGGATTTCAAACCCACTGCCCCCATGCACTCTGGTATTCCAGCATCATGGATGAAGGCACCTATGCCACCAACTAAAACATGTTACTCCTATGCACATGCACATAGGGTTCTTGTTATACACTGTGGAATAAGTCAGCCTCAACAAACCCCTTACTAACTTTAACAAACCATAACCTTTATAAGCATATTTACAAGCATGTGTGTGTATGTGTGTGTGTGTGTGTGTGTGTGTGTGTGTGTGTGTGTGTATCAATATGGGACCTATGGGCCCTGCCTGCTTATTAGAGTTAAGATTTTCTTTGGATANTTCTGGTATTCCAGCATCATGGATGAAGGCACCTATGCCACCAACTAAAACATGTTACTCCTATGCACATGCACATAGGGTTCTTGTTATACACTGTGGAATAAGTCAGCCTCAACAAACCCCTTACTAACTTTAACAAACCATAACCTTTATAAGCATATTTACAAGCATGTGTGTGTATGTGTGTGTGTGTGTGTGTGTGTGTGTGTGTGTGTGTGTGTATCAATATGGGACCTATGGGCCCTGCCTGCTTATTAGAGTTAAGATTTTCTTTGGATATGCTACAAATAATGCTAACTAAACCCTTTGTTTAAAACTTCTTATATCACTTACAATGGTGAATTGCAACTTTTTTGGCATAACTATCTCTCTTCCTAGACACTAAACCTTTGAAGTTAGGAACTAGTTTTACCCATCTCGGTAGCCTTACAACTAAAGCAATATTTGGCACATTGTGAGCCCCCATAAGTACTTGTTGAATGAATGAATGACTCTGCTCAGGTTATACTCCCTAAAACATTATAATTATACATTCAAAATCCTTGCTATAATTTTATGATGTATTGATGGAAGTAGGAATTGGATCCATCCCTTCAACATTCATCTATTTATTCTTCAGTCATATATGAAACTCTTCCTATGTGCCTCCACTGTGTTAACTGCTCAACATAATAGAAAAGAGCAGAATGTTATTCCTGCCTTCAAGGACATCAAGAATAGTTCCATTATGGAGCACACATGATCCTTTTAGCACAGTGCCTTAGAGAAACATATTCAATTTCTTGAAAGATATAAATAGAAATAACCTAATCATTTTAAATCTCAATAGAGTAAACACTAGCTCTGATATGTTTTTCTCAGTGAGAATAAAACCTGTTTATCACCGTAAGTGGCAATACCCACTCTATTTATGTAACAGTCCTCTTCTTTAACAAATTGCAGCCACTATCCCCATGACACGGTTTACTTAAATTGGAACCTTAGCCTTATTCACTTTAAATGAAACAATAAATCTGCTTACTATTGCAAGTCTTGTTGTATTTGCTGTTCTCCTGTGCAAACCCTTCCAGCCGGCACTGAAAACGATGCTGCCAAAATTCTTGAAACCAAGGGTTTCGGTGGTTTGTTTCTGGCCGGAGCTTCAGATAATAATCATCAAACCACTTGACATCAGGAGATTGGAGCTTGATTGTGATTCCTCCAACAGCTTCTCGCTGATATCCATCTGTCACATCATACCTGTCAGCCCAGCCATCACTGTGGAGAAACAAAAAAACCCTCAGTTTAAAACAGGTATCTTCTGAGCAAATGAGTCATTTGCTTTCCTTTTGAAAAGATCAGTCATTAAATGTCTACTTCAGACCACACGATGGTCCTGCATTACATACCCAGGCATTATAAAAATAACAGCTTGTTAGAATTAAAAAGTGCAATAAAACCATGGAAACTTTGGGTCTAAGAGTGCTAGAAGGCACTCATCTCACTTACCTTGAGCTGTAGAGAATAACCTAGTGCTTTTGGCAGAATTTCTCTGGTTGCAAAACACAGCATATGCATGAAATCTCCACGATATCACCCTTCACACCATTTACTAGATGTTTAATAGTGAATAGTTAGGTCAAGTTAATTCTCAATACATTCTATTCTTTTCTTTTACTTTATAATAATAATTATAATGATCATAAAACAAGAATGAAAAAATATTTCTCAAACATGCCTAACATTAATTTAACCATCCTATGACAGGGTATTCATTTTTATTTGCATTTTACAAATGAATTTTAGAGAGGTTAAGAACAACTTGCTGATTATGGTCATTCTATTAAATGTTGATTTGCCAGAGGTGTGAACAAAAATCTTTGTTGTTCATAGTCCATATATTCTTTCCTAAGCCCTGGAACTTCTCAAATGCATTTAAAATACACATTTGAAATATTTTATATTAGAGTGGTTGGAAAAACATCTTAGCAATGGGCTGTCAAGGATGGTGACAGGGATTTCACTCCTCAACATTACTATCATTGTATGCACTGATCACTCAAAGTAATCTAGGAATTTTAAACTAAAAAGTTTGAAATCAGAAAGTTCATATTATAATGGTTTAAAAGAGTATAACAGAATGAGAAAAAGGATTCTAAGCATATTTGGAAAATACATGATATACAACATTGAAGATACAAGGTGTGAAAAGATATTTATATCAAATTTGGGTACACTCTAGGGAAGCCAGGAAAAAGGAGACTCTGACTTGTCCCTCTTCCCTCTTCTCTCCCACTGGAGTACACACAACTTGTGTTGTGTGTTTGCTGGGACCCAGTAGTGCTATCTTTCCCTTGATGTGATGTAAGTGCTGTTTAAGGAAATATAAAGAAAGTCAAGGGAAAATTGAACAATAAAAAATAGTAACAACCAAAAGGAAAGAGAGATATGGAGGGACTAGAGGTGAAGAAGAGAATGGAGATTCCTGAATGCAAATCAGGAAAGTGTTTGGAGGTAAGCTGAGGGTAGGGACAGTGGGCACAGGGGAAAAGGCGCGGGAAGAGATTTACATTACCAATCACTGTTTACTTCATCGATATTCAGATATTTCTATTTAACAGAATATTAATTTATTTTTTTCCTTTCAATGCATTTTTGTCCTTAACATTTTGAAAAACATTTTATCTATTAAAACATAATTGATTGAAAACATCTGTGGGGTACGGGTTTGAATATCCATTCCTGCATGCAATATGTGATGCTCAAATCAGGATAATTAGTATATTCAAAATTACACAATGCAATCATTTTTGTGGCCCTTCACCAATTTCTTGCTTAACACTTTTTTCTAGGCAGCAAGTTTGATCCAATATTTTGCATATAAAACCAGTGCCAGGAAAAGTATTATACAAGTAATTCATTAAAATAAAACAGAAACTACTACAGATAGATCTTCCATACGATCCAGCAATCCCACTTCTGGGTATATAGCCAGAGGAATGGAAATCATCATGTCAAAGGGATGCCTGCACTCCCATGTTCATCACAGCTCTGTTTACAATAGCTAAGACATGGAAGCAACCTAAATGTCCATCGATGGATGATTGGATAAGGAAACAGTGGTATATGTACACCATGGAATACTACTATGTCATAAAAAGAATGAAATTCTCCCATTTGCAACAACATGGATGAGCCTGGAGAAACTTAGGTTGAGTGAAATAAGCAAAGCACAGAATGATAAATACCACATGTACTCACTCATAAGTGGGAGCTAAGAGAGAAAGAAGGAAGGAAAGAAAGACCAGAGTGATGTGTTGTACTTGCAGAGGGAGAGAACATACCTTGGGATACAAAGTGGAAGTGGGAGGAAGAGGGGAGGGGGAGGGAGGTTGAGGATAATTGAGTGAGGGACACGGGGTACAAACACAATTTGTGGTAATAGGCATGCTGCCAGTATGGATCTGGCCTTCATATCTTGGACACGAGGGGTGACAATCAGCTTTGTATCTCATGAATATTCATAACCAATAGTAAAATAAAATAAAATAAAACAGAAAGCATGCCCTTTTTTTAGTATGCTCTGCTATACCAAATGTGACATAAAAACTGGGAGTTGTTTCAAAGATCATAGATTGCTCATTAAAATATCGCAGGCGATAGAGATGACTTGAGATAGTTCCTAAGGCATCAGTGGGTGGAAGAGGAGAAAAAAAAAATAACCATTTCTTCCTTTAAGCTCTCCTTGCAAAGAAGATGTATCATTAAAACTCATCTGTGGTAAAATTTCAAAAAGTTTTGTGGCAGATAAGATAAAAAACAAACAAACAAGAAAAACAGTAACGCAATATGTTTTGCCCCAGTATTGAATCTGGTTTCTTCACACATTATCTTCCTTGAAGTTTCTCATTTTCAGCACCAGATTTTATTTAAAGCTGAGAAGTTGAAATGAAGTGGGCTTGTTTGCTTCATTTTCTCCCTCTGTTTTGGAGGGTTTATTGTATCACGGATACAGGAGTGTGGGTCTCATTGGCACTGAGGAGATGCAGGGGCGTGCTGCAAATGGGACAGGAAGCTCTCTTTGTCAAGCAGAGCCCCATTCTCCAAGGAAATGGGAATTTAAATTGCTCCTTTGTTAATGTTAGTTCGCTTTTATGTAACGCTATGATTATGAATATTACATAAGAAGTGTAAGATTATAATGGTCCAATTTACCCTTCACAATTCATTCACTGAATTTAATGGGGATTGTAAAAAGCCTGTTTTGGTGAACTTTTTTGCAGGTAATATTTCCATAAAAGAAAAATGTGAGGACTAGAGTGTTAATTTACTCAT